GGGATAAGAATCATGGAGGAAGCAGGGGGTGTGTTCTCTTTCTTGTGATATCAAAGTAAAGTATCTGTCAGATTTAAGTCATGAGAAGATGTAGCAAGTCTGGAATATTTGTTGCCTCTGATTTAATTGTCAGTGAATGGGACCAGTACTGTCAGGAGGAAAATGAGCCATAGAAGTGCAAACATCCTCTGATCTCACTTTTCAATGTTTCTGGAAAGTGCGTTTTTAACATGATGGGAAAGGGGGATAGTAAAATATTGAGCAAAGTCTCATCAATATCATTGCTGTGAGAGTTTTATTTTTTGAGGCACATGTAAAAAATGGCCCAGACTGCTCTTTTGATGACCTGGGCATGTGGTACATAGGAGATCAATAAGAATTTCTTGGCTTCCATAATCGAGATCAAATCTCCATGTTTTCTACTTAATCTCAGACCCACACGGTGTCAGAGTCACAAAAGTCTAAGTACTGGTGTCATTCACCATTAATCTTCAGATCTAGTTCTTAAAATGATTTTCGTAGCAAGCTTTCTTCTATGTCCTTAAAATAATTTCTCATAGCGATGAACAGCATTCATTGTTTCTAAGATGAAATGGTGGAGACTGAGAGACAACCTTATAGGGAAATAGTAAAATGTGTACTTTTTCTTCTTGAATAATTAGGAATCCTCTGTTGTATGCATGCCCGTGATGTAGATACTAAATTCTCCATGTGACAGCCCTTCGGATGGACTTGTAGCCTTAAAGAACAACCTCGGTTTTAAAATAAAGAGCTATTCAGAAAGTTTGGGGGTGGGGGAAATCACTCCAAATGTAAGGAGTAAAGGAACATAAGAAAAAGACAAATGAAAGGGGAAGCATGGCATTTCGGGAATATAGACAAGACTGGAAGAGTAGGGAGCAGGAAACGAAAGGCACTTCAAGCCAGCAGGAGAGTCCCATTTGCTAAAACCCTTGGGGGCACTAATGAATAATACTCTGAAAGTACAAATCATTATTCTAACTGCATTAGGCTAATATCATAGCAACCTCCTATTTGGGTAAAATACTTGGATGTAGATAGTACATTCTTAGATATGGGAAAACATTTTATTTAATTAGTGGGACTTCGATTATCTCTGGACATGTTCCATTAGTGTGCCTTGGTTATCTGGGTATATCCATTATCAGGAGTTTGGCTTACAAGTCCATTTAGTGAGTTCCATCAAGGCATTTTTCTGCTTAACCCCTCATAGCCAAGTATCAGGGAGCTGGGTGCTAGTGGTTTTTAGGTTTCTTTGCATACACTTATAATTTGTCAGTGCAGTGAGAGCAGAGGAGAATTTCCCATACATGTGTGCTTCAGCCCACAGGTAGCAGAAGGTGGGAAATCAGGCAGAGATGCCTTCCAGAGCCAAGAGGGCCTCTTGGCATTTCCCTGGCAGCCTCATGCTTATCATCAGCCAGAACTCAGGCACTCATTAGGCTCTTGATGAAAAGCATCCTAAAGAAAATGCCAGCAAATTGTACCACTGCGCTGGCAGGAAATTAAAACTGCTCAGAACAAGTGGAGCCAAGAGAGCTGTTGAGATGAAAGGTAACATCAAGGGTGTGATCACTGACTCACACAGGCCTTCAGGATTCAAGATGTGGCTTTCTGCTTCATTAGGGAAAGCAGGAGGTGCTCTCGGCGGTCAGCCACAGTCAGTCCAGCAGAGGGGCTGAGACAGGTGAGGAGGTGGGCTCTGTGAATTAAGGTTTGTTGTACTTGGGTAAATGCTTGTGGTTTGGGTTGTTTTCTCTCTCCAAAGGAGCCTATCCTAGGAAAAACAGAAATAAGAAAAAAAACTTGTTTTTGATTTGTTTTTCCTGGTCCCAAACACTTAAAGATCAAATTAAGTAAAATAAAAACTCCAAAAGCACCACAGGTCCTGTTAAAGTAGGAGCAGACAGTGTGGATAGGAGCAGATAAAACCTTAGAACCTAAGAATCTAGCAAGGGGACAGATGAAGGGGTGTTTTAATTCCACAGGAAATTCTTGGTGGTGGTGCTAATTTATCCTTAGGCTCAAATGGCCATTAGCAATGGGGAGGAAAGAAAAGCTGTACCAACATGCAAACAAAGCACACTGAGATTTGATTTTCATCACAACTAAAGGTGATAGGCAGAGCAATGGCCCCCAAAGATGCCGAGGTCCTATTCCCTGGAACCTGTGAGTATGCTGCCTTACATGGCAAATAGCAAAGGGAATTAGGATTGCAGATGGAATTAAGGCTGATGACTAGCTGACTTTGAGAGAGAGAATATCCTGAATTTTCCAGGTGGGCTCAATGTAATGACAGGGGTCCTTAAATATGGAAGCAGAAACAGAAGCCAGAGTGATACGATGTGAGAAGGACTCAGGCCAGCCGTTGATGGCTTTGAAGATATAGAAAGGGGGCCACAAGCCAAGAAATGTTGGTGGCCTCTAGAAGCTGGAAAAGGCAAGGAAACTGCTGTTCCTCTAGGAGGAATGCAGCCCTGCCAACACCTTGATTTTAGCCCAGTGAGAACCGTGTCGGACTCTGACCTCCAGGACTATAAGATAACAAAGTTGAATTGTTTAGGCCGCTAGATTTGTGGTAATTAACAATGGCAGCAAGAAAAATTGAATATATTGGTATTTAGAAAATTTATCTGAAGTTCCGAAAACAAGTTTCCAAGTTCATTTACAATTCTTGAGGCAAAATAGTGAAGCAAGAAAGCAGTGAAAAGATCCAAAAGGCATATTTATGTGTTAGAACTGTTAGGCATATTACATATATAATCTCACTTAGTCTTTACAACAGCCTTATGAAGATGCATCATCAGTTGTAATCTGTAAACAAGGATATGTTTGAAAAGTAAAGACAAACCATGTCCTTCAATTAATTAAAATCCTCTAGTAGTCCCCCATCTCATCTGCATTAAAACACAAACTCCTTATCCTAACCTATAAAGCTATAAAGCTCCACATCAATAATATCAAAGTGTGGGCTACTGATCAGCATCACCTGGGACTTTGTGAGAAAAGCAACTCTCAGGTCCCACTACAGGCCTTTTCAATCAGGATCTCTGAGAGTAGGACTCAGGAATCTGTAGTTTAACATGCACTCCAGGTGATTCTCATACAATAACATTTGAGACGCACTACCCCACATGATGTGCACTCACCAACTTCTCCAGCCAAGCCTGCTGCCACTCATCCTTGCTTGTGATGCTCCAGCCACACTGACCATCTTTCATTTTCTGAACATGTCATGCTTTCTCCCATTTGGGGCTCTTTTCATTCTCTTTTCCTTCTGACTAGTAGGCTCTTCCTTTAGAAATTTACCTGTTGGCTTATGTCTTTCATGTTTTAAGGTTTCCCTGATTGTGAGCACATGAGAGTCCAAAGAAAGAGTATTGATGGGACTGGTTCCCCATTATTTCATCATAACCTGTGTCTATGATTTGAGAAAATCATAGATCTGCCAGTCATGAATAGAAAGCTATGGATGATAAGAAAATGGACCCTAGTTGTTAACTCCGTAGATTTAAGTTTTGCTACAAGTTTTAACAATCATAGTCACAATTCTTTTTTTGTTTTTTTATCTTGAGGAATCTGGACTTGGGATGTTACATTTGAAAAAGCTTTTAGTGCTGATAAACATCTTAATCATTTCATCTTATGATCCTGCATGCTCTATTAATTTTAATTCTTTTCTGAAGGGAGGATTTAATAAGCAGGCACAACTCACAGCATATACTCTATACATTAGCTAGGTGTATTCAAACCAGTGTTAACTCTGAACCCTTCGTGGTAGATAAGCACTTATACTTTTTCAGTTTCTAAATTTTCCCCTTTTTACAGTGAGTTCTGTTGCATTTCACAAGTTTCTTGGCAGGGTCTTTAAGGTTGATTTTGTTTTCTTGTATAAATTAGCTACAGTAGATTATTTTCACAGTTAAAGCATAAGATAGTGCCAAAGTGTAGTTCTATTGAAAATTGTTTCTACTCAGAGGAGCATTTAGCATTTTTATTTTTATATTTTATTTAGCATTTTCACAATTATAAGTCCCTAGTACAATTAACAAACTCCCCAATTTTGGTGGTGTTATGTAATAGAAATTTATTTCTCAGTCATGTAACAGTCCAGGGTGGGCATTTCTGGTCAGTGGATGGCTTTCTCCCCTCCCGTATGGCCTCAGAGCCCTCTGCATCCAGCCAGCAGATAGGGAGAGGAGAGAAGACTCACTTGTTTCTTACAGTCCAGGCCTGGAAGTGATTTCACTTTTGCTCATATTTACTTGATGGGAATTTGTCACAAGGCCACAGTTGGCTGCAAGACGGATACGGAGTTGTTGTCCCTGGGTGGGCAGCCATTCCCAGTGACAAAATCACTCTGTGAATGGGAACTACAAATATTGGTAGGCAGCCAGCTGTCTCCTGCCACAAAAACCTATGCAGATTATCTTAATGCCCTGTTATACTGCAGTTGCCAGCCAAATGTAATGCTAAATCACAGCAAATACATCTCTCCTTCCTGGTTACCAAATGTGCTTTTCACCCTTGTAATCGTGCTCTTATTATATACCCCCATAGCACTTGATATGTACTCATTTAGAAATTCTCATCATTTTTATTATTTGTTCAATTACACTAAACTTCCTGAGGGTAAGACCATAGTTGCCTTGTTCATTGCATCCCCACCCCCATACCCAACATAGTGCCTAAAATAGCACATCACATATATCAGTCTTTTTTTGTTAATTGAAGTGTACTTGACTTACAATATTATATTAGTTTCAGGTGTACAACTTAGTGATTTGATACTGTTATACATTACAAAATGATAGTAGAGTTTGAATGAATGAGTGAAAGCACTAAATTTCTATTGCAATGTATTACCTCTTAAGATTAATCTGGTTTCAAGCTACCTTGGTTATTTTTCGATTAGGTGGTAAGCTGAATAAATCAAACAAGAATTAAGACCCTTTGTCCTTCTTTGTCTTTTCATAAAGGACATGATGCAATTGTCACACTCCTGAAACATTATAAGAGACCTCAGGATGAATTGCCCTGTAATGAATATTCTCAGCCTGGAGGAGGTACCCCCTTTCTTATTAAATTTTCATTGTTAGTGCAATATTGTGCCTAAAGGTAAACCTGCGTTTCTATTACCAACATTCTGGGGTTAGGGATGAAGGCATGTCAGATCAGCTTGATTTTAAGAAGATTTACATCTGGGTGAGGCTGAAAATAAAGAAGCCCCCACTTAGGCTACTTTCTGACTCACCAGTCTGCAGTTCCTCCAAGTTTTACATTCCCTGGACTGGATGTTTATGAGGCTGGTGCATGACTGGGAAGGCCTGGGTAAGCTGAGAGCAGTCATTTTCCACTTCAGTAATCTATTAAGACAGGACATAGAATACTCATATGCAGACACAAATTAAATCCACTGGAGTCTGCTAGACCTTGGATTTTTATTTTTAATCATTTTATGTACCCTCTAAATAAACACTTGCTGTACAGTTTCAGTATCTAGAGAAAAACCTAGACTTAAGTTAGAGTCTCATTTGGTGGTGTTAGCAAATTTCTTTTGTCATGTGCTACTTTTTATAGTGCTTAGCTTTTATGGAAAAAAATGTTTGCTACCTTTAACTCTATAATTTGATTTCTAGATGGCTCCTATGTGTCTGTTCCATCCCCTTTGGGGAAGATTAAAAGCATGACAAAAGGTATTTTAATATGGGACAGTTGTTATATTTTATTACTAACAATAGCTATTGCCTCAAATATGATAACTTTCTATTTTGTTTTATATATTACAAATGACTATTTTGCAAGCATAAATAATATTATTAACAGACCATTCCTTCCATAATTAACCTCATCTGCTATGTTATTTTGCATATGTCCTCTTAGTTCATGAAGGTATAATGGTGAAAATTCCATATGAATATTAAAAGAAGATCAAATTCACATAGACATTTGTATTTTTAATGAAATATAAATTATAAATATTAATATCTTTAAGGAGAATTGGGAAAAGGTTTGTCATAGGGAAAAAAATTGAAAAATAAATTATTTTCCAAAGATCCCAAATAAGTAATACTTTGGGAACTTTTCTGAATGTATGCTATACACAGAAATTAATACCATTGAATCAGGAAAGTAAAAAATATTCAACTGTAAATTTATATTTATTTAGAATTTGAAGTTTTAAAAAATTATTTTTGGTTTTGAATGTTTCTTCTGAATAATTCATATGCTTATTTCCTAAATGGCATCTCTTGAAGGTTTAGTTTATGGATATTTGACTAAGCTTTTTGTGACAGGTTGCTGGGATTGACCAGATAAGACTCTTTATATCATGATGTGTTATGGACTGTACTCCAGAGTTGCCACATCATACAGACAAGCTAGTGGTTGACCAAATCAGGAATAAACCCTTAGCTCCGATAACAAAGTTCGGGTAACAGAGACAGAGAACTAACGGGCTTTTAATGTAGGGGAATAGGGATCATTTGTGATAAGGTTTTAGTATCTCCAAGTAGTCAATTACAGTTGGAAAATTAAATGTTACTAGGGTATGATGTTTTTGGTTAAGTATACATGTGCATGTGTGTGTAAGCATCCACATGTGTGCTTTTTATCTTAAAAAATAAAATAATAATTCCTGTTTGCAGAGAAGGCAGATGTTCTCCTTCTAAGGGCTGGATTGCCTTCACATTTCCATCTTCAGCTCTCAGAAATTGAGTTCCATGAGATTATCGGCTCAGGTAACCTAAGAAAATACTAGTCTGTTTTAGTTTAATGAGCTCAGTTCAATAATATGTGTTTACTTGTTTCTTTTAAACAATTTTAGGTTCTTTTGGGAAAGTGTATAAAGGACGATGCAGAAATAAAATAGTGGCTATAAAGCGGTAAGCAAGCAAATGAGAAAATTTAGCATCCAAGTAGAGAAGTAAACTCTGAGAAGTATATTCATGGCTAGCCCCTTGTTTTGATTCATCTGTTGACTGAAGACTTCCTGTTGCTGTCATTTCCAGTTATCGAGCCAACACCTACTGCTCCAAGTCAGATGTGGATATGTTTTGCCGAGAAGTGTCCATTCTCTGCCGGCTCAATCATCCCTGTGTCATTCAGTTTGTGGGTGCTTGCTTGAATGATCCCAGCCAGTTTGCCATCGTCACTCAGTACATATCAGGGGGTTCTCTATTCTCCCTCCTTCATGAACAGAAGAGGTATGGTCTCTGACTTATCATTTTACATGTCATTGAAATTACAGTTGCAACACCTCATATGCTTTCTGCTTAGGTGAGTTTTTACCTTCTGATATCTCTGAGTGCTAGGAAATGTGACATTTTAAAGATGGCTAATAATTTATGCCCAATAATTGTGTTTTAATGACTAGAAAGATTTCTGTGCTTTCTTAACAGGAATTCAGTTTAAGATAACAAATTCAAGGAATTTAAATTGGTAACTGAAGCTTATAATAATTAGGCTAAACTTGACATACCAGTAAAGCAGATATGTCTAAGATCAGAATAAAATAATTACCAGGGGTCACAGTATTTATTTTTTAAAGTTTTAAGAAAGAATAGTCTTGCACGAGTCTAATTTGAATTCACTTCCTAGATCTATGCATATTATAATTAGAATGTGGTTTTTACTCAGTGATTAGATTCCATTTTTATGTTATTACAAAGAAATTAAATATAAAATTACAAAGATTATAAAATCAAGTTGACTGTTTAAATAAGAGGGGTTGGTATCTGAATTGATCTATAATTAAGCATTATCAGATGTAGAAAAGCTATTTTTCCAAATTTGTTGAATCTTTAGCTTAATGTTCAATCAAGCAAAAAAGGCTGAAATTATACAGAATAACAAATCACACACACTACTGATTCCTTTTAGAAAGGTATGGTATTGGCTTTGACCATTTCATCCTCATTAAATCTATTTTTAAATTCTAGGATTCTTGACTTGCAGTCTAAATTAATTATTGCAGTAGATGTTGCCAAAGGTATGGAGTACCTTCACAACTTGACACAGCCAATTATACACCGTGACTTAAACAGGTATTTTTTTCCCTCTAAATAATTAACTTGGAATTGTGTAACTTACTAGGAGTCTAAGACAGATTTCAGTGAAGATACATTTTAGATTTATTGCAGAACACAGTTTTCTACTCTGTGAGTAAGTGGACAGGCTACCATAAGCCTAGGGGATAGAAAGGTTTGTCATTGTCTTTTACAGAAATAGAAAGCTGTATAACTGCCTCTCAGGGAGCTTTCAAATCTGTGAAAAATATGCAGAAGACTATGACATCTGTAAGATTCCCCAGCTAGCTAGTTCTCAGGCCAGTAAAGTCAGATCAAGGATTGAGATCAATGACCATTATAGAATGTCATGTCTCATACAAAGTCAAGTATTATAGTAGGACCTGTTATAAAATTATCTGAAATGCTACTTTTGTGCTAACATTTTGTTATTTTTCTTATAATTATAAACTCAGCCAAAACACAGCAGCTCATTTACCTAGTTATCATGTGAAGATGTTTTCATGTGGCATGGAGACTTGAAACAAATATAGAACTAGAATGTTTCGGTGGTGGAACACCAAAGTTTCCTTTTTTTTTTTTTTTTTTAAATAGTGAACGCTTTCTCTAAGAGAAGTCTTAGAAAAAGGCCGATACACAAAAGGAGCAGCTTTAGTTGAAGGGAGAGTATACAGTGGAAAATTCTGTTCATTTACCATTTCCCACTGCCAAAGAGGGAGATCCTTGAGCCATCTCTCTGGAATCTCAAAGGTGCTAAGGAGAATATCTGGAAAACCACCAATCTGATAAACCACTGGTTTATGAAACAAGCCAGATTATTCAAAATCAATAACTTTCATTTCATGGTTGCCAGTAAGGTTCAAATAGATCCCATATATGATCCTTTATACAAAGCCCACAGTTCTAAAACTGCCCAATATTCATTAATTACTCCAGTCAGTAGCTATTTGGGTATCTGCTATGTTCAAAGCCTTTATACTTGGCACAGTATAGCCAAGTGAAACTTCCATAGACTCCATTCTCAAGGAGCTTTCCTACTCTAGTAGAGGAGAAAAATACCTAAATATGCTCTAGGTATAAAAATAACAAGTTTTCTTAAGGAAATAGTGAAATATTTTCTATAAAATTTCAGAAAAAGAATATTAATTACTTCTGAGAAATTTAGAACAACTTTATGGAATAGGTGACCTTCGGGCTTGACCATAAAGGATGGTTAGAATTTGGAAGAATATCCTAGGCTTAGGGAAGACATGAAAAAAAAAAAAAAAGAGATTAGAAAGTTAAAGACATGTATAGGAGCACTGAATAGTTTCACTTCAGTAGATGAAATGTATAAATGTAGGTAGTGTATTTAATGTGTGAAGAGGACTCTTGGGAAAGAAACATAAACTGAAATAAGAGCACAGAAATTAGTGAATGCTAGAGTAAGGTAGTTTAGACCTTGTTCTGTAAGCAAGAAGGAGGCACTGAGGATGTTAGAGCAAGGAGTCACAAATTTGGGACTGTAGTATGGAAAGATTAATTCAGCGTCTTTATAATAGATCAACTTGAAGGGAAACTAGTGAAGCAGTTGTTGCAGTGATCTAGGTAAGTAATGAAAAGCAGAAGTTCACTAATGGCAGAGGAAATGAAAGGAAGAGACAGATAGGAGAGATAAAATAAATTAGATATGAAGAGTGGTTGAATCTTAGATATTGGAAGTAAACATATATAGGACTCAATCTATTTATAATTGTTTACTAGTTTTCAAATAAAAGTTATTTCTTCCCTGTTATTTTCTTTACCTCTCTTTTAAAAATATTTATGTTAATAAACATATTTTTTCTTTGGGTTTCAGTAACAATGTTCAGGAAACAGATTTAGGTGATAAATTAGCATAATTCCAACTGTGATTTGTGAGTTTTAGGAGTATTGTTTCATTATCCCAACCATCTTTGCATGTGTCATTGAAACAAATGTGCTCACTGAAAGTTTTCTCTTGCTGCAACGCTTCACTTGTGGAGCAACTGAAAGTGTGTTCTGTTGCCCTGTGAGTAAGTTGTTGCCACCAGGTTATAAAGCAGGACCAAAAATATAAATTGTTGTTGATTAAAAGTGAAAATAGAACATGTATTATGTAACAGACATAAGTTTATATTTACCATTTTTTCTGTCTCTAATCTAACCTAAATACTTAAATTGTGCCAAAAAGTCTTCAAGTCTTATGAAACACTATTTCATGGGTGCCTTCAATATAATAGAGTACCAAATTCTTGCATTTATTGTTTGTGGACTATTTTCTACTGCTCTCTAATCTGGTAGCAATAAACATTGTTTTTCAGTTTAATGCAAATGTAGCATGTGTACTGCCCAAAAGAGTCTAAGTCCTTCTCCTCAGGGTTTATTACTACAATCTGGTTAGGGACATAAAACATATGCCCAGGAAGCAAATTAATTGCCATTTAAGGCAGAAAATGATTAAGGGCCAAAATGATTAATCAGCAATTTTCAAAAGATTTTGAGTAAATTAAAAATCAAAGTAGAATGGAAAGCTTCCTGGAGGATGTAGAGCTAAAACTAGACTTTGAAGGATAGGCATGTATCTTTCCTCAGTCTTTTCATAGCATACTAATCCTTGTGTTTGCACAATGCTTACAAAGTCCCTCCCATTGAAATAGGTAGAGGGAAAGATGTACGTCATACAGTGAGGAACTCAGGCATTACATTTGTATTGAAATGACCTGTTTCCATGTTTCTCTCCCCAACTTTTCTGGGCAGGTCAAGGCCTCAGGAACAGCAATCCTGTGCTCTTCATCTCAGATTTCCAAAACTAAACATGGTGTCTTACACAGAGGTGTTCAGTCAATGCATTTTTAACTGAACCAAGTTCTTGAGGCATTTCGATGAATGTCATTTCAGAAAGCAATGGCCTAGTTGGTACAAGTATGACTCCTTGTAGATAGAGTCTGACTAACTTGCCCAATACCTTTTATAGTTCTAAAAGAAAGAAGTTGGTTTAGCTTACAGATCAGCCCACAGAGAGGGGACACTTCTATCTTTGGTTTTGTGGTTGTTAATTTATTTGAGTAAAAGGAAAACACTTTGCCTTTTCCCTTATAAGTTTCTTACCATATAAATCAAGGAATGCTTAAGGAAGTGGTTCTTTCCAATGATGATGATGAGAATTTATTCAGTGCTTACAATGTGAAAGACCTCTGCTAAGCCCTTGTTATGTATGCTCTCATTTAATTTCACAGCAATCCTATAATACAGTTATTATTATGTCCATTTTACTGTAAGGAAACTGACTAAAGATATTAAGCCCACAGCCACATGCTTATAGCTATATTATGCTGACGCAACCACAACAGCAAAACCAAGTCAGTACAGAGAGATAGGAGGAGGCTGGGTGATATTGAATGAGCATTGGCCACATTGATCAACCTTGCTCTTTGTACTTCAGTCCTATAGGCGCAATTCCTGTGACCCAAACCATTTCTCATACCATCTCCTTGTGCTTCTGTGTTTCTGCTTTATTTCTTCTTCTACACCCCATGTTCTGCTAGTATGGAGCAGAAGTTGCATATGAGGCATACAGATATGTCTTCTTTGTCCCATAATGTTTAAATATTTTTAAATGTGTAGCTTTAGGCAGGAAGGTACTTTTCAATTTGTCATAGACCCCACCACCTACCAACTTACCAGTTTATACCTTGTCCAATTTATATGCTCATTTTGTGGCATTGGAGCTTACAAAACATGGTTTACAGCTAAACATTTTAATGTTTTTTACTTAATACTAGCAACTATCTTTGTTTTCTTGGTAAAGTCCATTTTCCAAATTTTTTGATGTTGAAACCAAACATCACTGCAAACATCAAATAAATGGTCTTTTCTGTATTTAAGTAAATAATATAACACTGTAATCAATGAAACAGTGATGTTTCCAACAGAGTGGCCATGGCACTCCCAAGAGAGATATATACGAAAGCATCCTGTAAAGTGTGAAGCACTATAGAAATGCCAGTTGTTATTGTGATTAATCCCTCACTTGTTCCTTTATAGGTCAAGAATGTGGAAGGAAAAACACTCCACAGTATTCTCATCCATACAGATATTTATTTTTATATAACACAACTAATTAATTCGGGGTCTAGGTCTAGATCTGAGGGCTGTTTTTGAGTGTCAGCTTATTCGAGTGACTATAAAGGAAAATAATTAGTGATAACTTAAAAACAGCCAACTTGCTGATGACAAATGACAGATAATTTTAAATGACAATGCTAGTAAAGGCTAAAATAATTTTAATTTTGAAGGTGGATTTAACTAATTTAGTGAAGATTTCAGAAGGTATTAAAGAAAAAATTGATTAAAAATTTTAATAATTCTTTTAAGTTGATGTATGTGTTTGCCTTTCAGTTGAATACAAAATATAAAAACACTGAATTTTTTTAAAAAACAGCAATCAAGTACAAATTAACAAATTATTCATTGTTTTTCTGTTACCTGTTAGGTACAATTGTATTCCTTGATTCACATAGATTTTTTAGAGTTCGCTCTCAGCTATTCCTTTCGCTTGTGACTTTTCTAATAAGTGATTATACAGAAGGAATTTAGCATTCACTGGCAAATATCATCTTGCAAAGAATTCTGAGTACTTGAATGCAGGCCAATTGATTGATTACATTGCAATATTTATGGTAAGTCTTAAAAGAGAACCCTTGAAACTCATGAAATTCTTCACAACTCTGCTTTTGTAAATCTCTAGTATAAAACCTGTCACAAGTGGCATTTTTAATTTTGTCTTTTTTTTCCACTTATTTCTACTTTAAAATTAAGTGAATTAATTAATTAATATAAAATATTTGAATGGTTGATATGAGCCAGTCTATGCTATGCCTGGAGGCACAGCTGAGGATGAGAGACCCGTAGCCCCTCTCCAGCAGAGCTTAGAGCCTAAGTATTATTTCCCAGTCATAAGAATCACCTGGGGGCCCTCATTTAAAAAAAAAAATCAAAAACTCCTTCCTAAAAGGCAC